GCCAGAGTCCGTGTGGCGTTCCCCCTTTCCCCTGTATCCCCCTATAGCCCCAAGGTACCCAATGGGTGTTTAGGCCTTAGGCCTTCGTGGTAGTTGGAGTATAAAAAAAAAACTGGAGAGTATATCCAAAAACAACAAAAAAGTTCATTTGTAACTGACCCAATCAAAGATTCAGGATGGCTCAAAATTAACAACCTGCTCAAATACTTATTTTTGTCATAAGTAGTATTCTACTATTCGTTCACCACTATGTCTATGGATGAAGCTTACATTTCGGACCAGCATTGATGATTTGAATTTAAGGTATACGACCACATTATCCATACCAAGACACCGCACAGCCATGTTTCAGCGCTCTTATATAACGCAGCTTATTTTTATAATGCATTAACAACATATTTTGCCAAAAATATATATTCAACACACAGAGATTTTGGTAGCACTTAATCTTTGTTGAATACATTTTATGTACACAATAACACTGTTATTACTTCATTTAGGGTGGATTTCACCAAGGTTGTCAAATTAACAGTCCGTTAGTCTCCACCTATAGGGTAACAATGAGCTTCAAAATCCAATCAACAAATTTTAGCAACCAATACCTATGAAATGTTGAAAACAAAATATTGTCAAAGTATGAGATGACAGCTTGTCCTTGAAACATCACCAGCTTATTGAATATTAAGAGATTACATATAATTCAGTCAAAATTCAAAGAAATGTTTGATTTTTGAATAAAATTCATGTTTTAATTACTATTGTTGATTTTTTATTCATGTTTATATTATTTTCTTCAATTGATATGCGATTTTACTGATTTACCGTGTTTTTTTTCCTATAAACCTCTTGCAGATAGCTATTAAACACCTACTTGATGACAGACTCTACTAAAAATTTCATAGATATTGCTCGTTTCCAAACATTCATTCATTTACTTGCCGTTCATCAGAACCATTATGGCATCTTAGATTAATATTCCCACAAAACCATTCAGGTTTTCTGATATCCATATCTACATCCATAAAGTTGAATATTTTTCATAGTTCAGGAACTGAACAAACATCCACACTATATTAACAGCTATTAAGAAATACAAAAATATACAGGGTGTCCGCAAAATTGGGGTTTTCCTTTACACGACGTGTAGATCTTGAAAACATAAGCAATTTTTCTTAGTACCATATACACCAATGTCTTAAGGGAACCGAGATAAAGGGCTCTGCAACATCAAAAATATCTGAATATCGTCCTGTAGCCGCGACCCGCCGCGATATCCCCGACTGGTACAAGGTCAGAACCCGACGGCAGAACTGGGTCGGGGTCAGTGTGTCAGGTTAGTATGCAACCTTCAACCGACGGTTACGGTCACGCGTGTAGAGGTAAACGAACTCGTATAATCGATTGCGTTTCAAAAAACAACAAGCACTAGGGACGTGGCTAGAGAAGTGCAAGTATCAAAAACTAAAGTGTGGCAAACGCTGCGTGAAGAGGGGCTGTATCCGTTTCACGTCCAACGTGTACAAGCCCTTCAACCTGACGATTTTCCAGCAAGAGTGCGGTTTTGTGAGTGGTTGTTGCATCAACATGACAATAATCCGGACTTTTTGAAGTGCATATTGGTGACAGACGAATCTACGTTCACGCGTAATGGGGTGAATAACTTTCGCAACACTCATGTTTGGTCATTTTCAACAACATTTTCGGTGAATGTTTGGGCTGGCATGGTGAACGGTATGCTCATTGGACCATTTATTCTCCCAAATCGATTGGACGGGATGCAATACGTAGACTTTTCACGCAACATTTTGTCTTCCTTGTTAGAAGATGTGCCATTAAATGTAAGACAATCAATGTGGTTTCTGCATCTGCTCGGTAGCGCTTCGTTTTTTCTGAAATGATAGAAATTTGAAATTCTATGAAAGTTATCCTAATTCTAAAGCAAAAGAACATAATATTACATCTATAATGTACCCTTATTTATAAGACAACCGTTTTTTCACGACTTTATTCAACATTTCAATAGAAAGCACTGACATTCAGAGAGCTTTGACAGCTTCTGTCAAATTGCATTTCGATAAGGTCTTTTCCTATTAGTCCAACTGACCATCCAATATTAATGTTGGTGAAATTGGCCCTTAGTCTATCACGTATACAGTAACAGTCATTTATAGTTTGTATTATTATGTATACATAATTTAAACTTTCTTTAGATTTCAAAATATTGGTTGGGTAGATTGGCCAATGGCTAGACTTTTAGATAGATACTTTAAATGTTATGCTGTAATGTTAATGATTCAATAAAGACATACCACAATTACATAAACATGTGGTCATAATGAATATCTCCACCCTCCTGAACCTAGCCGTAAGCTTTATCCGTAACAATACTATTTAAAAAAAAATCGGACGACTGATCACGATGGTGTTGCTTCATGTCAAAATGTAGTGCTCCAGTATTCATTTTTCATTTACCTATTCCACATTTTTACAGTATTATGCAATTTTTTTACTACCTAAAGATATAATCAAGTATTAATATGTTAAGAAGGTTTATCATCCACCCACAGGCTATGTCTACTGTCGATATTGTTATGTATTTATTTAACCATTTGTTATTTTGGTTAATAAAAATCGTTTCAATTTCTCTAGATCAGTATATGTAATAAAAAAAAGTTGCCCAACAAAATTATTTGTATCTCTAGACAGAAGACCTTTTTCATTTATCCTTAAACACAGTGCCCACACTACTCAGCACTAAAATCAAAGCAGTAACAAAAGTAGCGTGCCTAATTCACAAGCAACTGATGGATTTGCAAATTTCACTTTACTGTTTAAGTTTAATAAAACACGTTAGATAGGTTCAACAATTATTTTAATAGTTGCAATCTATCCCATGAGACTTAATAATATTTCCTTTTATGTTTTGTCTGACAGTTGTCAATTTTTATTTACGGCGCTTTTGAAATAAAAACACGGGCGTCAACAAAATGGCGTTTTTGGCTATTCTAGTGACCCTCATAGACTAACCATTTGAATGATCCAGTACATTTCCAAAAGGAGCTAATGTATCGCTTAAAAAGTGACACAAACGGTCATTAGCACAAAAATCGAACAAACATACTTCGAGCAAGTATCACCAGTCCATCTATTGCAATGGGTGCTAGACCACCCATGTGTAATGTATGTGAGCCAGTCATCGTCGGTAAAAAGCTATAATTATCCAATGGTCATTACAGTGAGCGTCACGTCAGTTATTTGAAGTACCCATAGTATTACTGGTAGAGATTCATGGTTTCTAAAACAGCATGTTTCTTTAAATGTAATCGTACAGCTAGACTTGCAGACTACATGTAAGGCTAATGATGCGTTTAGCAGGTATCATCAGCCGCAACGCAGAATCGGTAAACACATGCCAAAAATTGGAAACTTGGCAGCTAGTTACAGGCAGTACGCAAGTTAGGCATGCGGCTCAGGGCGCCGTGTCATGAAGGGCGCAAAATTCTCAGTCAATGCGGATTCAGGGGGCCATGGTGTTCATGTGCTTCCTCTGAGTATATCGAGACGGACCAGCTAACGCCAAGGCCCCCGCTTTTCAGAAAGGCGTGAGCTCTCAATCATATTTCATCTTTTGCCTCAGGGCGCACAAAACTCTGAAGCTGCACCTGGAAATACTGTCCCTTAACTCTTTTCGACCGGTTAGTCTTCTGGGTTCCTAAGAACTGATGGTTTATTGAATTCACTTGCGTCCTGATATATATACATGGTGGCGCATCGAAAACGAAACAGACGCATTTACTGGCAGCTCAATTTTTTTTTGGAAAAACGCTCAGACCCGTCGATTTTGTTTTCGAGGGGGACACAAGCTTGGCAAAAAATCACGTTAACACGTGCAGCCCCCTGAGCGGGGATGACACCAACCCTAAAATCTTAAATGGAAAGGGGTGTCGAGTGATACCTTTTAAAGGTCTTTCAATTCCCTTTATAACTATGTAAAATACATGAGATTCAGTTCAGTAGTTTTGAAGATTCATTGATTTAAAGCTTAAAGTAGACTTTAATAGGTACATCAGATTAGTTTGTACTACTTTCAGAAGAAATTTGACTAAAAGAATTTACTTAGTAAGTAAATGCTTTTCTTCACTACGGCCATGGTTTGTTTATCATTTTGTTGTTCAAAATAGCTATTGGAGCGTTTTTTTGTGACAAAAAGTTATTTCTTGAAGAAAGATATGGAAATATCTCGTACTTATTTTAAATAGGAATTTAGTACATAGTTTGCGATTGATTTGACCAAAGTTTGTTGCTAAAATAACTTGTAACGCTTTATTACATAAATTAACCATGGTATATTCCACAGCAGAAAGAGTTGAAATTATTGAAATATTTTTCGGAAATAATCAGTGCGCTAATAGAACAGCAGAAATATTTAATGAACGACATGAGAACAGTAACGTGCATCGAAAATATGTCCTAGAACTTGTAGCTAAATTTCGGGAAACTGGGTCAGTCGCCAATAAAAAACGCAACATTGAAAACCCCATAAGGAACGAAGCGATAGAAGTGGGGGTTTTAGGGCCCAACGGATTCTAAGTTTTCATCCGTATAAAATTCACCTGGTACAAGAACTTAATGAAGACGATTTTAATCGGCGATTACAATTTTGTGAAGATATGAGTGAACGAATTATAAACGATGAACATTTTCTATTCAACACTTGCTTTTCCGACGAATGTTCCTTTTTCTTAAATGGCGTAGTAAATCGTCATAACTGCCGATATTGGCCCGATTCTAATCCCAGAATTTATCATGAGATTCATACACAGCAGCCACAAAAATTAAATGTTTGGGCTGGTATTTTTGACGATCATTTAGTTGGTCCTTTTTTCTTACCTGGAAATTTGACCGGTGAAATGTATTTGGAATTACCACAGACATAATTTTTGTTCGCTTTCTTTCTTCACAATGACCTAACCAATACTAACAATCTGTTTTCTTTCCAGCAAACCTAGCACAGATGCCAAACCAAGGTGGCGGACCTCCGATAGTTAGGTGCGCATTGAGGAAGCACAAACCTAACAGAAAACCAAGGACACCTTTCACGACGCAACAACTACTTGCGCTGGAGAAGAAGTTTAGGGATAAGCAGTACCTGAGTATAGCAGAAAGAGCCGAATTCTCAAGTTCGCTTAGGTTGACAGAAACACAGGTAATTATAAAAATACTTAATTATAAAACCTAAGAGGCATTTTCACAAAAAATGTTCTAATACCCATAGAACATTTAAAAAAATATTACCTGCATGTGAAAGTTAAAAAGTACCACACACACCGTACTTGAGGTTTCGTAGACACGTTCAAAGAGAAATACAAAAAGAGTTGTTGAGATGAAAAGTGTACATTTGTTGTCTCGAGATATATCCTGTAAAAGGTATCGTTTTTAGGTGTTTTTAATGCGATAGAAAAATCTTTTATAGACATTAAAAATATCGGTATTTTTTCATTCGATTTCTGAGTTTTTTTTACCCCTTTTTACCCTTCTAGTTGAAATGATTCTGGAGGTGATTTTTTTAATCTAAGTAAAAATGTCTCGTTTTTGAAATATTACAATCTTTTTAATCAATATATCTAACTCTGTTAAGATGATCTTAACAATAGTTTGTCTATGACCAGTGCTCCATGAAAGGACTCAACTGATGTAAGATTGAAATCAGTCTTTCTCAACGGCGCTATTATTTTTTTTTATTATAATCATTACTCGAATATCTACTGTAAAAATTTTTCAGGTACGTGCACTGGTCTGTCATGAATTTGAGATTCTTATTTGATCAAATATTAATTTTTCAATAGAAATGTATATTAGAGACCACCCTTTTAAAAAAGAAGCGCAGTACAAAAAAAGTGTAAGAGGCTTAAAAAGTAGGTATATTTTGTTATTTTTGATGATGGATGGAATAATCCAAGAAATGGATGTCTAATTTTTAGTTGTACCCTCAGGATAACAGTATGTACTATTTAAGTTTGATTAATTACTAAAAATAATTCAATTCTGATGAAGTGAAAAAAAGAAATACCAATATTACGGAAGAAAAGTAAAATCATGAATCTGAGAACGCCTTTTTTTATCCCTGATTAACAGTTCTGATGAGTCCAAATCTCTATGGGTCCATCATCTCCTTGATCGTCTCAAAATGATAATGACGATTATGCCTAAAATCTCATAACACTTATCTACCCCAATAAACCCATAATTAAAATGAACTTTGGTCAGGTCGATAATAGGAAATGAGTTAAACTAGGGTTACCTTTGCGTAATGTCAACCTCAGTTTGAGGTCTTTCATATCGAACTTCAATATACACTACATTTAAACCATGATTTTATTTAAGTAAAATGTCTTGGAATACGGAATCACCAGAATCGAATGTGAACGGCAAGTGTCTATTGGAGTTGCAAAGTATCGAAGACAACCAAGTCATCAATGTGACCGCTTCATGCCGTCGACACTGGTGATATAGTAAACAATAGAATAATCGCCATTTTAAACTGAAAATATGGCTTTCGGTTGTCCAGCCAACAGAAGGCCAACCGTGTACAGCGTTGTTTCGTGCTTATTGACAAGCATCAGCACGGTCTAGGTAGCTGTCGTGCATCGATGGACCTTCTACTTCTGATCTATGATACTTTTACTCTGTTTTCGTTCGTTGTTCTACCTAGAAACCTAAACCGTGTTGATGACTGCCAGTTGGTATGAAACAGCCATCTACACACCTGACCCTCTGTTGGGCAGACAAAAGTATTATACGGAATAATGACTATAATTCAATGATGGAAGTGGAACAGATGGCAAATTACCAGTTTCTAAAATCTCATGTCGTCGCTTAAGTTCTAACACCGCGTAAATGAAATCTGACAACTTTTTAAGAAAGCAAAAAGAACTTCGGTCGCTCGATGTCCTATCGAATGCCATTCATATCTAGTAGTCATCCATGTTTATCTTGCCATTAAATAAAACACATATGCTTGAAATACTATTTACTAACGACGTTTCGGCCAACATGGTGACCAGTGGCGAATCTATGGGGGCGTCCAGGGGATCCGGACCCCCGAAACATCAGAGTTTAAAAAAATGTCTTTCAATTTGCGACCCCCCACTCTGCAATTTTTTATCTGTGATCCCCCTCGAAACGGACATGAATATATTTTCTAAATCAGCCCCAGACGATGACCTATTTCAAGTATGTGCATATCTTATTTTTTGTGGAGTTACGCAAAGTCAGACTATATAGTATATCAGGAGTGTCATTTTTTCGCATGGGAAAAAATCGTAACTCGGGTTTTCTAAATTCCAAGACCCCTAGCCTGATAATGTTCCCGATATACTGGGCACGGTAGAAAAAACTAAATCCTAATTTACAACCGTGGCTGCCTCAGGACGCCCTACTGAGAACAAACTGTGAACATTTTTATACGGGAGTAGATTTCGGAGCGGCCGGTGCTTTTACGGTCAGCAGCGACGAGAATTGACCAATTTTACGGTTTTAAAAATTATCGTTGGGTCATAAATTTCGTGAGGAGTGCTCTACCTGTACGGCTCTCATGGCTCACAAGAGCCGCCGCTTGCTCAGCATTGGAATGCGGGGGCTGATTTTTAACATTGATACGCCAGGTGATTGTTTCGATCAAGATGCTGATTAGCTTGGTTTTTCGTTAATTATAATAGGTAATTTATATATTATCGTAGTTTTGTTATACGCTTGACGACCGTTTATTTTATATGCATTAACCGAATATATGTTTACCAAAAATTAAAATCAACTTAAAAATGGCGTCAAGTAGAATGACTCTATACTTCCTACGCCTTCGATGGAGGTTTCAAAGAAAACGGATTAGTGAAATCGTTTTAAAAGGCGAAATCGAATCGTGTTGGTTCACTTAGACACTATGAATCTTCGACCTCAGCAATAACAAACTATATAAAGCAAGTCTATCATATTTCTGCTTCCATGCCAGATGTAGGGAAATATATAACTTATTATGTCTAACAGGTGCATAGTATTACTGAGATCAGCAGCTTCTTAATAATAGAAGGTCTTTCACTGACACCAAATATGCACCAATTTACAAGCATTTACCGGATACAGCTTCCAGTCTGCAATAGAAGGTCTTTCACTGACACCAAATATGCACCAATTTACAAGCATTTACCGGATACAGCTTCCAATCTGCAATTTACATTCTCTCCAAACAGTGTCTGAAAATGAGCAGGAATCTCTGAAACGTAGTAGCACTATGATCCGCATCTGAATCAATTTTCAAAATCTACGACTACCTAAACGATGGACGTATTAAACTCGCGATAGTATTCGAACTTTGGTTCACAAGTTCTCTTCTGTACATTGCCAATATAAACATATGTTGTTCGTTTAAACTGTTATTTGCATTCCGCAGAAGCTTTCACCATTTTCGGCAATTATATTATATGGAGCACTGTACACACATTTTAAACCCGAGATTTTTTATTTACACCCTTAACTAAACTGGTATCTTATTTGTTTCAGGTGAAAATCTGGTTCCAGAACCGGCGAGCAAAAGCGAAACGGCTGCAAGAGGCGGAGTTGGAGAAGCTCCGATTATCCGCCCGACCCCTCCTGCCCCCTAGTTTCGGCATCTTCCCGGGAGGAGCGCCCCTGATGTCCCCCTTCCTCGCCGCCATGGCTCACAGGCCTCCTAATTTCGCATTTGCAGGCAGTGCCATGCTGAATATGCCCCAGTGACGAAAACAGGACAACTAAGTTTTGAGGTTAAATCATTTCGAGGAAAGAGGAGCTTGGAAGGCTTGATGGATGGTACAAAAAGCGCTAGAGAGATAGAGAGCTATTTTTGGACAGGAACATGGAGATGAGCAATCTCTTGAAAGAAAATGCATGATATTGGGTGGTTTCATTAATAACTTTGCTCAGGGTCACACTTCAGAGGCAAGGTCTTATGCGCCTAAGAACAAATTGACTTCACAGTATTTCTTTCTTTCAAAGATTTCTACTGAAAACTTCTACTTCAGTTTTTTTTTAGAGACAGTTGTAGCTCGTTCTCTATGTAGAGTCTATTATCTGGTTGTGCAAGTCCCAAAATGGAAGAGAATAATGAAACATACCTATCTCATCCTATGCTACTTTTAACGCGTTAACAGTGGCGTACGATGCTTCTCCCTCCCGGTTTGGTATTTGACTTACAAAGTGTGTCATTGAATTTTGAATTCACCAACATAACGGTTATTAGAGCTGCCACTACAGATTTGCTGAACCATGATTCCTAAATCCATGTTCATACAAATGTTATTTTGTCTACATTTGAAGAAAATGTTCGTGCAATTATTTGAATACCTGTAGATTTGAAGTTTGTTTCTTGTGTAAATATGCGTAGACAAAAGAATTCGAAGAAAGCGTATTTTGTATTCCTTTATCTTTGGGACGTCTAATGTACGAAGTCTATGGCAATTTCCCAGTGGATAAGCAGGACAGATGTCTTAAAATATTGTTAGCTTAGATAAATCGTACTTGTTCATCCATATACTAGTGTGATCAGGATTTACTATGAATTTTGCGCGTCGAATATTGATCACATTTTGTGAAGTGTATCAATAAAATTTCCTAAGACCCAGTGTAGTTATACGTACTTGAAAATCGAGATAAGTTCTATGTATGTTAGACGTTCCTTAGGGAAAAAATTAACATTGTATCTATTTATAAGACTGATTAGTAGTTTCTTTTATGTAATTTCCATCTTGTAAATGTGTAATTATGTTTATTACTGTACAAAGTTTTATTTAATTTTGTTGTATATTATTGTACATAGAGAAATATAAATATTACATGTTTGTTTTTATAAAAATGTCGTTTTATTTCAACGGGTACGAAGAATATAAAAAACGGTGTTCACAACCCAAAAGTTACCATCTGTGTGAACGTTTTTACTTTCCAGGCCTACTGGCAGGCAAGTATTGTAATCGCAAAAATTTTCGAAAATAATATATGTTTTTTGGATGTTATACCATATGACATGTACGTCACGAAAAACCATGACTCTCATTTCAGTCTGTCTGTCTGTCTTCTTACACAATGTTACTACTGTGCCAAGGACGTAAAAAGTAGTTTTTGAAAATCAGGCCATCGGCAGAAAAAAGGCCCAAAGCGAAAAACGTTATAAAAATCGCTCTCTTTGTTTTTTAACGTTTCAGATGATCCTGATCATTTTTGAAAAAAAGATGTTAGGAGCTAGAAAATTGGGGGGTAAGGTTGTAGAGGGGTGGGGAGGGTATATCTCAATTTTTGATATTAGTTTACCTATACGCTTCCATCCATGGAAGTTCTACGCACCTATTAAGACATATTTCACACATCATACATTTCTCCTAACACTATCCCTTAAAACTTATCAGCAGACGGATCGCGAAGTACAGAGTCAACCTACTTGACGCCATTTTCTTTATTTGGTTGAAGAACACAGCATCATAATACGTAATATCGCAAACTAGAAAAAAAAATCGGTTTACAATTCATCATTCGCGTAACATGGCTAGAATGGTGGGGGGTAATCTCTAAAAAAGTAGATGGCGCTTCATCGCCACTTGGGTACACGATCATGTCTGAGGTTATAAATTATAAACAGAAAAATATGTTAGATGTTGATCAGCCGTTCACGTCAATATGTCGTTTCTGTCAAATCTGTATTTTCCAATCTACTTTTTAACCTCCAAACATACTAACATCGCCTATCGACATTGGACGTTGCCGCGATTTGTAACACTGAAAACTATTAAGAGGTACTAACAAGTTTCTGGAAAACAAATTGTTTTTTCAACGTTACACAAGCTATTCAACACTTGTGCGTTTACGTGGATAAAAAAAAGTATGTACCCCTGGTGGGACTCGAACCCACAGTCCCCGGCTTAGGAGGCCGATGCCTTATCCATTAGGCCACAGGGGCTGTGCGAATCGGTTTTCATAACGCTAAATGTTTGTCTCCGTTGAAAATATAATGGTAAAACGCATGAAGTAGATAATACGGGTGTTTGACTCACAGGGAAAGGAATGAAATAGGTAATACAGGTGTTTAACTCGCAGTAGAGATGAGCTGTAGTAAAGTAGAGGATTGGTTAGGCTGTTATATTGCGAAGATCGGATAAACCTGTAGCGTTGAGTAATGAAAAGTTTATGAAGAAAAAAAATAAATCAAGTTTTAGCATTTATCATTTCTTTGTTTTCTAAAGGGATATTTTTTTATGTGAAACTATTTCTCAGTGGTAAGGTCAACAAACATACCTATTTCAATGCAGATATCAGCACTCGGGAATTAGGCCGCCGCGTAGGTCTATCGCATACCATAGTCCATAGAATCCTACGGGCAAATTTGCTTTATCACTACCGTGTACAACGAGTGCAGGCCTTGTTACCAGAAGACTATCCTCGCAGACTACCATTCTCTCATTGGTTTTGGCACAAAAACATTGAAAATCCGGATTTTTTAAAAAAAATTCTAGCAACGGACGAATGTACTTTTATGCGAGACGGGATATTAAATTTCCATAATACTGACACGTCGGCCCAAGAAAAGCCTCATACCATTCGTGAAGGTCATTTCCAACAACGATTTTAAAATAAATACTTGAGCGGGTATTCTTGACGAACAGGTAATTGGCAGGAGGATGCCTTAGCTTTCTAGCCAATAACCTGCCAGAACTTTTGGAACAGACCTTAGACAACATGCCATTACAACGGAGCTGTCTCCTGTGATTTCTGGTTTCTTCATGACGGGGCACCACCACACATTTTTAGAGGCGTCATTCAGTATTTGAATGAACATTATCCAAATCGCTGGATCGGTCGAAATGCTCCTGATCCTCGAAAATGGCCAGCAAGATCTCCTGACCTCAATCCGATGAATTTCTGGTATTGGGGAGAACTTAAAGGGATGGTTTATGGGGCTGGTCCAATAACAACTGAAGCACAACTTGGCGAAACAAATTTTAATGCGGCTGAAATAATAAATGGACAACTTCGAGGTCCTAGAGTAAGAAGAAAGTGGGTTGGTCGTAATGAAGCTTGTGTGGAAAGTGGAGGACGACATTTTGAACACCTTTAAATACAAAAAAGTGTAATGTGGGTTTTAAAAAGAAAAACAATTTATGTATCTAAATTGTGTTCCCTATTTATAAGTGGATTTTTTAATACGTTCAATAAGCTTTCACACACCAGATGAAGCACTGAGACAGTGGTAAGTCCGTTTTTCTAATTGTTTGCATTTTACGAGTAAATTATCAAATAATGAAATAACACATAAGAGGCAAAAATAACAAACTCCATCTTTATTTACATTGCCTTCCGTCGTAATTTGCGTCTGGAATTGCGGTGTTGTCAGATTTTATTTTACTTTAAAGTCGCTTTTCTCTAAAAAAATGCCGTTTTGACTCCCATGTTATATGAAACTTTTTGCATCTTTTAACCCTCTCTATCACCCATTTAAATAATGATTATCATAACGCTTACACCCTGTAAAGTTCATCCATATTTCCTCACATTTCGGCATATGATATAAATAGTTGCTTACTTACTTACAAATGCATTTGGACTGGAAAGCAACAGAAGGACTAGCTAAAGACAGAACAAAATGGAGAAAGAAAATAAGAGAAGTGTAGAAAGATATCAACTGCATCCGGTAGAAGAGGAACGGATTCAGTATATAAATAGTTTAGTTTTTTTTTGCACACTCATGTACGCTGTATTCAATAATTATGTAATGTTCGTTTAAATTTCGGATTACTGTTTGTTTTTTTTTTGTATTCTAGTGTTAGTTATTTTCAAACGGTAGGTGGTGGAATAGCTTGTCACCAAACTTCGCCTGAAATAAAAGTCATTTATTAGATATTATTATTTCCGTAACTTCGACACCCCGTCTTAAACCACACGTAACCAGTGCCGCCTACGCCTCTGGGTAACAATCCGCCATCGTCTTCTCGACAGGTATAGGGTACAGCAGCCACTATTTCAGAGATTATATCTATTTTCCGAAGTTAATTTGGTATTCCATAAATTACGCGACAATCACTCCTTAATTGGGCTATGAGATCGAAAACTTATCTGACCGGCTGTATCTGCTACTGTGAATGCACCGGCCGCCATGCCACGACGCTCAGCCGCATATTTCACTTCTGAACAACTGGCCGATACCGTGCAGTGCCACGGTAATGTCAACCTGAGAGTCAAAAACTGAATCTTACCGTACATGACTATTTGTGTCGGTATTTTACTCTACATGGACCAAGTAACTACGTCTTCATACGCAACGCATCCCGCGCTGAGAAAAGAATTAATTAAACCAATTAAAATTTCAATTGAGCCAATTGATAGTTTAAATTAATTATGTGACTGCAAACAAGCTTATCAGTTTTACTGAACTATGAAGCTGCTTTAATTAAATCAAAACGCAATCGCTTAATTACATTTATTAAACCGTTTACCTAGATTGAGTACCCCAGTTTATTTAAAATCAAGGAACAATTAAACTGAGTTTGCCAGCTCCAAGTAAAACAATTTAACAGTTTTTATTAAATTTGTTCAGTTAGTATACGTAAGGGTGTTAGTTTTAACTTATTATAATAATAATAATGTATATTTGCAACATACAGTTAGGTAAAAATAGTAGCAAAATACATTTAAATAAGATATGTTACAAAAAAGGGCTGAAGGCATTTAAAAAATGATACAAGTTCAGCCCTGTACCTAGTTCACATTCATATTAACACATATATATACATATACATACAAATATATACTAAGTGACATATAAATCGGAACACAAAGTTTAAATGGTTTTATTTTAATAAAATTTTGTATAAGTACTTAATAAAGCATAATAAGTAAATGATAAACATTTCAAAATGATTGCACTGCTTTAAAGCCCTTTGACCTTTAATAATGTGTGGATGCACCCTGATGTGCTACGCATTCTCCAACGCGCCTAGGCATGCTTCTGATCAGGTGGTCAATGTCTTCCTGTGGTATCTCATTCCAGGCAACCACCAACTCCTCTCGAAGTGCTTCTAGAGTCTGAGGAGGACGTTGCAAATTGAGCAATCTCCTACCCATCATATCCCACATGTGCTCAATTGGGGATAAGTCGGGAGATCTTGGTGGCCATGGTAACAATGTGACATCATTATGTTGAAAGAAGTCTATTGTGACTCTTGTAACATGTGGTAGGGCATTATCTTGTTGGAAAGTTGGATCTGCCAGGGTGTCAAGATAGGGTAAAAGATGGGGTTCTAGAACTTCGTGGATATAACGCTGCGCGTTCATGTTACCTCTGATGAAGATTAAAGGTGACCTGGAACCATAAGCTATAGCACCCCAAACCATAACTCCAACAGTGTGATGAACATGTCTTTCAACAAAAAACTGTGGATTCCTCCTTTCACCACGTCGCCTTCTAACCCTGGCACGACCATCGTGCATGCCTAAACAAAATCGAGACTCGTCACTAAAGACAATACTGTTCCATTCCTGATCCCAGAGTGACCGTTGTCTGCACCACTCAAGGCGATTACGTCGGTGTTCTCGAGTTAAAGGGAGGACCCAGTGTGGCCGGTATGAAAACAAGCCAAAACTTCTCATTCGTCGGTAAACACTTCGCATGCCAATAGGTCTTCCGTGTTCTGCAAACCATTCATTTGCAATGGACCTGGTAGTGGAGAAACGGTCCCTTAAGGCCAATAATCTTAGGCGGCGATCTTCACGGTCTGTTGTTCTACGGCGGCGTCCAGTGCCCCTTGCTCTTTGCGTACGGCCTTCTCGAAGCCATGCCTGACAACACCTAACCACAATGTCTACACTTCT